TGTTATTTGGGTGGAATGTTCTGTAGATGTCTGTTAGGCCCATTTGTTCTGGAGTTCTGTTTAAGTCCATGGTTTCTTTGCTTATTTTCTGCTTGGAGGATCTGTCCAGTTTTGTCAGTGGGGTATTAAAGTCCTCTGTTATTATAACATGGCTGTTCATAATTTTGTTTACATCAAGCTTGATTTGCTTTATGTATCTGGGTGTTCCTGTGTTAGGGGCATAAATCTTTAGTATTGTAAAGTCTTCTTGTTGAATTTTTCCCTCCACCACTGTATAGTGACCATCTTTGTCTTCCTTTACTATTGTTGCTTTAATGTTTATGCTATCTAAGAATGGCTACCCTGGTTTTCATTTGCATGGAAAATTGTTTTGCATCCTTTCACCTTGAGTCTGAATGAATCCTTGCAGGTAAGATGCATTTCCTGGAGACAGCAGATACTTGGCTTGTATTTTTTTTCATCCATTTAGCCAGCCTATGTCTCTTCCATGGGCAATTAAAGCCATTCACATTTTTAAAAAAATGTTAGTTCATGTATTTTATTAACTCATATACAATTACTTGTCTTCTGGTTTGTTGAAGCAGTAAGTTAGACATTTGCCACAAAAATGCCTGTCAAAGTGGCTGGCCATAAAAACTCCAGCACCACATACATCTCAAGGACACTCTCAATGAGCCATTCACATTTATTGAGAGAATTGATATTTGGGGTGGGGTTCTGTTCATCCTGTTGGGTGGATTCTTATTGTTTTGTTTTACCTCTCAAGCCATTGTGGAATCAGGGTTCTGGACTTTAGCTTTGGGTGATTTTACACTGGTAGGTGTCTATTGCACTAGTCAGTGTATGATGCAGGTCTGAGTACTTTCTGCAAGGTAGGTCTGGTCTTCACAAATTGCATCAGTGATCGCTTGTCTGGAAAAGTCTTTATTTCTCCCTCATATAAGAAGCTTAATTTTGTGGAATAAAGAATTCTAGGCTGGCCATTGTTCTGTTTTAGAAGACTGAGAATGGGTCCCCAGTTCCTTCTGGCTTGTAAGGTTTCAATTGAGAAATCTGCAGTTAGTCTGATAGGTTTTCCTTTGTAGGTTACCTGCTGTTTTCACCTTACTGATCAAAGGATTGCCCCTTTCGTGTTTACTTTGGCCAGGCTAATAACTGTGTGATGTGGTGATTGTCTTTTCACATTGAATCTCCCAGGAGTCCCATGTCCTTCTTGTACCTGGATATCTAGGTTTCCGGCTAGGCCAGGGAAATTTTTCTCAATTATTCCTTTGGATAGATTTTCCAGCCCTATGTATTTTCTTCTTCTTCCTCAGGGATGCCTGTGATTCTTGTTTGGCCTCTTTATGTAATCCCACATTTCTTTTATGTTTTGTTCATGCCTCTTGTTTCTGTATTCTTTCTCTTTGAGTGATTTGTTTAGCTGATAGGTGTCATCTTCAAGCTCTGACACTCTTCCTTCTGCATGATCCAGCCTGTTCTTAAGGCTTTCCATTGTGTTTTTTAATTCTTTGAATGCATCTCTCATTTCCAGAATTTGTTTGGTTTTTCTGTAATACTTTGATTTCTTTAGAGAACATTTCATTCATTTCCTACATTGTTTTTGTGGCTTCTTTGTGTTGAATTTCTATTTTCTCTTAAATTTCACTGAGCTTTCTTACAATCTATATTTGAAATTCTTCATCTGTCATTTTAACCATTTTGTTTCAGTTGGTATCCATTGCTGAGGAGCTAATGATTTCTTTGGGCGGGGTACTTTTTGCTCTGATTTTTCATATTTCCTGAGTTCTGTCACTGATTCTTTTCCATCTGGCCTCTTGGTTGGGAGCTGGGGGTGCTAGGGCTGGTTTATGGCCCAGTCTCCAAGTCCCCATGGATTGTTCCCTGACAGTGCTGGGGAGAGGAGCACTGATTCTGAATTGCATTAGGGGTATTTTATCAAGTTTGATGAACCTCTTGGGTTACCTCTGACCTGTTTTTTTCACCTCTTCCCAATGGAGTGTAGTGAGTTTGGTCCCCCAGCTTAAGCTCCAAGCTGGTTAATTGTATTTGTGGGTATGAATCCACTGCTCCCCAATAGCTTGAGATGGAAGACACTATGTTTAACTATGGGGTTGTTCTTGCTGTCATTGATTATAGTTTGCATGGAGGAGCCAGTTACTGAGGTAATCTATTGTAACTGTGGTAAGCTTTCATCCCCCAGGTAGGGTATTTGAATACCCCAAGCTTTGGGAGTGGCCTTGTAGCTCACTGGGGTAGCGTGGACCCTGCTCCCCTCTGAAGTTGGGGGAGGAGCAAGATTGATTGTAGCTGGGGTGTGAGTGCTTGAGTGTGTGGGCTTCTATGTGGCTCAGAGGTTGCTTATTTGGACACTAGGGGGAGCCGCTGATATGGAGTTCAGGGCTATCTCTCCAAGCTTGGAGGGCTGTTCCTGATGGGAGTGGCCCACTGTGCAACTGCTGTGGCCTCTAGCCAGGATTTTCCATCCCTGTCCACAAACCTGGGCACTTTTTCCTCCGATCGTTTCACTTGTGTTTCCTGCCCACCCAAGATGAGCTCTCAAGCTTCCCCACAGTTCATGTGTCTGGCCCACCGGCATGCATCTCTGCATGTCACTGGCAAATAGGGGGATCTCTAATTGTGCACCCCTTTTCCACCACTAGACCCCAAGGCAAAGCAGGTGGGCCTGTCTATACCCAGAAGTCTCTGCCAGGGTGACACTCCCACCGAGGGAATAGTGCCAGCTCTAGGAAGTCTTGGTTCAAGCTGAGCTCCCTATTAAAGTGAGCGGGGATGGGGCCGCTGCTCTGATTCAGCCTGGGGTACCTGAAGCATTCAACATTTGATTGCCATGGGAACCAGTACTTATGCAAATTGAGTCACATTGGCACAGCAAACTCCAATATGGCAGTTCTCTGGGGGAAAGGGGAGAAGGGGCTCACCCACAGAACCCTCCTCTATTGTGTTCCTCCACATTCTTCCAATGGGCACGAGTTCTCACTTGCTGCCCAACCCTGGAACTGGAATCTCTCCCCCATGCCTCCCTGCCCCACCATCTGTGCTGTCAGCAGGTGAATGTGTCAAATGCCTGTGGGCAGGAAGATCACAATCTGAGGTTGCCCTACTTGCTGGGAGTGGAAATGTGCCCACTGTACTGGAAGCAAGTCACTCAGCACAGAGAACTCTAGCAGCTGCTATGGTTTCGGGAAGGGGGCTGTGGACTTCCTGCATCATTCTTGAGTTGGTGGGGGGCACCCATCCACCCTCCTCATCAAGCCATGGCCCTCTTTTCCAAGCTGCAGCAGGAGCTGTGCTGACCAAGGCAGGCTTGGCTGGGAATGTGCTCTGGGAGTGTGCTCCCGTTGCACAAGGCAGGCTCAGCTAGGAGTGCACTCTTGTTGTGGGGAGCCACTATACTCCCAGCTGAATTTTTGGTGGTTGTTATGGGGGTGGGTGCAGCCACACAGCTATGAGTGCTTAAGCCAAAATTACTTCCTGGGATTCCAGGAGTGGAGGAGGTGCAGAAGAGGAGGCATCCAGATTCAGGGATGCTGACTCTGTGGTCTCTCGTGGCACTCCCCCATGGGATGAGAGCCCTGTGTCCCATTGCTGGCCTGAGGCACCCAGGTGGGGGAAAGGGAAAAATACCCTTATCCTTTCCTGGAGCTCCAGAACTCCCTGGAATTAGTTTGCTCTGATTACTCCCTTCTATCTTCCTCTCTCTCAGCAGCTCAGTTCTTCCTGGTGTTGTTCCCAGACTCCACTTGTGTCTATCCCCAGGGTCCACTTCTGAGCAGTAATTACGCTCTGCTCTCCTCATTCCAATCCTCAACTCATCTACCGGGATGGTCTGAAAAGCTTTGTCTCTAGTCAACCATCTTGGCTTCTCTCAAAAATCATTTTTATTAATGGTTTGAGTAATAAGAAAAGTTTGTTTTTCTTCTTCCATACAGGAATATGTTTGTTTTTCAAGACATCTGAGGTTACTTTGAGATCATGATCACCGTATGTCTGCTTCACTGATTGAGATTTTCGGGGACTACTTAGGCAATGAAACTTAGATTACAGATGATATTGTGGCCTTACCTTGAGCACTGTAGAATTTGAGACCCAGGTTGATCATGAACAGTGTTTCTATTTTTTTTTTTTTTTTGAGACAGAGTCTCACTGTGTTGCCCGGGTTAGAGTGCCGTGGCGTCAGCCTAGCTCACAGCAACCTCAAACTCCTGGGCTCAAGCAATCCTTCTGCCTTGGCCTCCCAAGTAGCTGGGACTACAGGCATGCACCACCCTGCCTGGCTAATTTTTTCTCTATATATTTTTAGTTGTCCTATTAATTTCTTTCTATTTTTAGTAGAGACGGGGTCTCACTCTTGTTCAGGCTGGTTTCGAACTCCTGAGCTCAAACAATCTGCCCGCCTCGGCCTCCCAGAGAGCTAGGATTACAGGCGTGAGCCACGGCGCCCAGCCAAGAGTGTTTCTTTTTTAAATCTTTCAACTTTGGCAGGTCCTGCGATTTGACTTTTGTTTTCTTCAACAAGCTAAGCTCTCAAAATGAAACTTCGAATTCTCTGGGATTGGCAAATAACCTTAAAGACAAAGTGGCTTTGGTGCTTTGCTAATTTAGGGGGGTTCTTCATTTGTTTTTCTCCTCAATTTATCTGGGTAACTTCTTTCTATCTTGCTAACTTTTTAATGCTTTCAAAAGATGTTTTTGTGTATGGGGGTGACATGTATGTGTGTGTGGGTGAAGTTCATCACTTTTGTTTTCAGTAGAAAGGGTGATGGACCAAATAACCTAGAAATCCAATAATAGCTTCTACATTCATGTAAAAATTGTACAGTTTAATGGGTACATTTGCATATTTAATTATAATTTGATTTGTTTTTATTAATACTTAACTTTTACTTTTCTTGAAATAATTTAGTTCAATAAATATTGAAGATTAAGCTTTCTCTGATGGAACTAAGTATAAAAATGCTTTTTTTGAAACCTCTCAGAGTCGTTTGGATGTGTATTTTTCACACAACCCAGCAGGAACATCTGTTCAAAATATGGTCCACTGGAGTCAGGTATAACTTAAAGTTCATTTCACTACAATTTGATTTACAATACTTGTAGTTTACCTCATCATTCTAGGGATCATGCCATCACCATAGAATGATAAATTTAGAAAGATAAAATAAAATTTTTATATATTTGTGTAATTCTTTATGGTTTAAATGTATATTTAAACTATCATAATCTATTAGATCTTCTAAACCTAAGCAATGATCAGAGCAATATAAATATCTATGTTTTACAAATAAGAAAATGTCAAAACAGTAGACTAGGGATCGTCTGCCCATCAATTTACTCACTCAACAATTCAAAGCTATTCCCTTAAGAAAAAAAGTAGGACTAGAACACAGTTCTCCTACTACCTAGTCTGAAACACTTTCACTAGACTACATTTTGTCTCCTGTTTAAGTCACGAGCTCCTTGAGGACCATGAACAAGGTTTTTTCACTTTTGTATTTCGGAGACCAACAGTTCTTGGCATGTAGTAAATACTCAACTAATACTTGTTCAATAAATGATATTGATAATGGAAATATCCAGTGTGAATATAATCTTAATGTTGAAAGTCAGGATAACATAGTAGAAATAACACTTTCCTGAGATCAAAAGACCAGACATTAAATCCTTTCTCTGAACCTCAGTGGTAGTATGACATTGAGCAGCTCATTTAACCTTTCTGACTGAGTTTCCTCAATTTTTAAAATGAAATTAATTATAATTCTCTAATCTAAGATAAATATTATGAGAATTAAATAGGATAATGATTATGAATGTTAATTAAAGTTAATAAACACTATATAAATTTAAAGCATCATTAAAATATTGGATAAATATTGTTTACAAAATCATTCAGTCTACAAAGTAACTGTTTTGATGTAAATTATTAAAAATATTTATTATAAGTTATCTTTGGACGAGATAACTTATCCTTTCTTTTCTGGTGATGGCTAGATCAGGAGAATCTAAGCAATCTTTGCATTTATTCAGTCATTGTAACAATATTTATTGAGCACCTACTATGTACCTGGTACTATTCTATGCTCATGCAATACATCAGTGAACAAAACAAAGGCTCCTATCTTCCATAAGCTACATTCTAGTAGTAGGTATATAGATAATAAGCAATAAGTACATGAAATATATAAATTATTACAGTATGTTAGAAGGGGATAGAAACTATGGAAAGGCCGGGCGCGGTGGCTCACGCCTGTAATCCTAGCTCTCTGGGAGGCCGAGGCGGGTGGATTGTTTGAGCTCAGGAGTTCGAGACCAGCCTGGGCAAGAGCGAGACCCCGTCTCTACCAAAAATAGAAAGAAATTAATTGGACAGCTAAAAATATATAGAAAAAATTGGCCGGGCATGGTGGCACATGCCTGTGGTCCCAGCTGCTTGGGAGGCTGAGGCAGTAGGATTGCTTGAGCCCAGGAGTTTGAGGTTGTTGTGAGCTGGGCTGACGCCACAGCACTCATTCTAGCCAGGGCAACGAAGTGAGACTCTGTCTCAAAAAAAAAAAAAACAAAAGAAACTATGGAAAAATTGGGGTTAAAGAGTGGGGAAAGGGGATTAGGCATGTGGGGGAGTGAGATGTACTTCTGAATAGAGAGGTCAGGCTTCAGTGAGATGGTGACATTTCAGAAAAGATTTGAAGGAAGTGAGGGAATTAGCAATGTGGGTATCTGGGGTGTCTTAGTCCATTCAGGCTGCTATAACAAAATACCAAAAATTGGGTGGTTTATAAACAACAGAAATTTATTTCTCACAGTTCTGGAGGTTTTATCTTAGAAAGTCCAAGATCAAGGTACTAGCATATTTGGTGTCTGGTGAGGGCCTGCTTTCTCGTTCATAGATGGCACCTTCTAGTTGTGTCCTCCCATGGTGAAAGGGGCAAAAGAGTTCCTTTGAACCTCTTTTATTATGGCACTAATCTGATTAATGAGGGCTCTGCAGGGATTGTGGTAATGAAGGTTTATGATATGATCATAGAGTGAATGGTTGGCGTAGGGGGGGAGGACAAGATTATTGAAGAATTCAAGAAACTTAGAGGGCAAATTTTTGAAATGATTAAATCCCTAAAATCAATGCGGAAATAGTTTTAGAAAGAGTAGCACTGAGCAGGAACAGCACAAGATAGTGGGTGATGTAATTGAATGGCATAAGATTCAGAGCTTGGAGTTTTAGGGTGGAGAAAGTGAAAATTGTCTAGAAGAGGGAATAATGAGTCATATTCTTTAGATTTCTTCTGTCCCCACCTCCCATCCTTACCCTATTCAAAGGAAAGGAAGAACAAAACCCACCTGCATAAATAGCAGCAGACCCAGTACAAAGGAGGCATATGTGTAATGCATACCTAACTTGCATCAGCTACCACTGTAATGAACAAGTGATATGGTCCTATTTTTTGTTTCTCTTTCAGCTTTTAAATTCTACTCACTTGAAAGCTTTTGACTGGGGCAGGCCTGATCTAAACTTGATTCATTTTAATCAGGTACATAAGTATGTATAAACTAAAAACTCCCTCCCTTTATGATTTCTTCAGATGACTTTGCTGTAGATCAAGGATCATCTGTAAATTCCCAGAATACAGTAACACAGTGAGAAGAACCAGTAGTTGAAGATAATGTTGATTTGGATCCATATCACCACATCCAACCAAAGTGGCTTTTCCATGTTTTCAATGTATTTTAACAACAAACATTCTGGAAAAGTCTAGAAAATTTGACAATCGATAGAAGAATTCATCATCCCTCAAGAGGAAAAATATTATTTGTAATATACATAGTTCACTACTCAGTTAAATAAGAAATAAATTGACCTTAAAACCAATTATTCTGTTTGGGAAGATAAGACAAACACATATAACAATTAGGAAAAACTTAGAAGTCAATGATAATGTAGTAAAAATTGTATGATTATAATAACAAAATTCTCAAAGTATTAGAACCCAAGTCTTTCTGATTTCAAAGTTTATGCTTTTTCAACATAGTTTTCTGCCTCGGCTAAACTTCAGGCCTGATGTAGTCTGGTCATGTTAAAGTCTGAACTAAAATTTGAAGATCAAATTAATGAGATCAGAGTTTACCTTGACTGCCAATATTTATAATTTGTTGATAAACACATGGACAGTAATACAGCCACAGAAAGTACTTTCATGTTTTTTACGTAGTATTGAAATTATATTTGTGAAATGTTTGAGTACTTGGAATTAGAACAAACTATCTAATTTGGATTTATGTATGAGTTATTTCCAAGTAAAATCTGTAATACCTATTCATTTTTTCATACTGGAGAAAGTTTAAATAAGTTGAAATAAATCCATTAGATTTCAATTCATCACTTAAAAATTAGTAAATAGAACCTCCTAATATATCACTTCCTGTGGAAACTTATTTTACTCACTTATTTTTAGACAACTCCTCCATCGTACAATGTGACAAATATGAATGTGGCAGTTGCAACTTGGAATGGTGAAAGTGACTTGTTGGCTGACCCTGAAGATGTTAAAATTTTACATTCTAAAATCAAAAACCACATTTACCATAAAACTATTTCTTACTACAATCATATTGACTTTTTGTTTGGATTAGATGTCTATGATCAAGTTTACCATGAAATCATTGATATTATCCAAGACAATCTATAATGAACTATGGCATTCTGTGTTTAAGGATCTATATTATTGCTATTAAAATCCAATTATTTTCCTTACTATGTATGTTTTTTCACTTTTAAAATAAAGTATGTAATTTTTACCTTTACTTTATCACTGCTCCTAGGCCCTCTATTCATTAAATCAGTGGCATTTAACATCTCAGGGGAAATAGAAGATTATAAATCAGTCCAAAGAAATCTACTGAATTTCAAATTTAAATAACTAATATCAGAAGCAATAATCTTTAACATTTACAACAGCAAGAGAGATTTTTAAGAAATTTTTTCTTTAAAAGTACATGAGCTTATAATATATTATAAAAATAGAGTTTGATGATATGAAAGTGAATTTTTTCTATGCTGAATGAAGAATAAAAACACTTTTTGATCTATGTAAAGGAGTTTGAGAAGAAAAAGAGAAGAAAAATAGCCTGGATACCAGTGTAATGTTGCTGCCTTATAATCATTTCAGGCGAAGTCCCAGAGGTAGGGAGATCATAGAAACCATAGAGGGGCTGTGCCTCACTTCCCAGAGTGTATAGCCTGGGGAGACTGATGTTTCCTTTACAGCCTACTGTGTGTTAAGAGTAGCAATGGTTGAGTTATATTTCTATGTGAATAGATCCGAAGGTGGCCTCACAAAATATTATGCACTATAGTTTAGTGTCTGAAAGATCCGAGTTTCCTATACACCAGAGAAGTGTAGATCTGTTCAAGAGAGCAATGGAAGATGGGACAAGGCCTAAGATTTGGAATGAAAGGATACTTTCAATAAATGAAACACATGTATTATAATAAGAACCACAGAGGGGGATTAGACAATGGGCATCAGCAGCAGATGTACACTGAGCCTTTCTCATAATCACATGCAGACTTCCAGTTTCCAGTTCTGCTTGTAAGGACCTTGGAAGTGACCAGTCAGTCCAAACAATAAATGAAAAGTTGAACAGACTGAAAAGTCAACAACTCTTCTTGTCAGCCTTCTTGGCACTTACACAATTTTGTAAGTTTTACCTCCAGGAGCTTGACCAGGTTTTCACAGTAAATATTGGAGAAAAAAATCCTCTTATGCTTCCAGCTGAGGGAGAGGAAAAGAAACTATTTTGAAATACATACAGTGCTCTGTACATCTTAACAAGACCTACCCTCAGGAGAAACTAGTTAATCTGAGCCTGACATGCAGGGTTTTATCAAAGCCTAATGGATCTGTGGGAAGGGGAATACCCAACGCATGCCTACTCTAGCTATCCTGTTGAGATGGAACTGAGAAGCACTTTGAAGTTCACAGTCCAGAGGCATAGGCTGACTAAAAACTAAGACCTAATCATTGGACTACAGAATGCTTCCCCTTCCCAACACCTTACCATTCACCCTGGTGGGGGATGTTGTTCATGGTGGAAGCTATGCACGTGTAGGGGCCGGAGATATATGGTAAATCTCTACACCTTCCTCACGGTTTTGCTGTGAACTTCAAAGTGATCTAAAAAATAAATACTTAAGAAAGTTGTATACAAGGATTTATGCTTCAGGGGAAGATAAAACTTTCTCCCTTCCAATTCATAAATAATACATAATTTCTCTGGACATTTATAGTCCCTGGGGAGACCAAGATGGGATGGGGGAATGTCTAGAATTGAGTGTCAATTTACCATGTAAAGACCGACAAAAACAATCTATAGTTTACTGAATCAGAGAATTAAGTTTTCTGCCTTAAACAAAACGGAGGTTAAAAGCCAAATTAAGTTCAGCTAGTTTTGAGGTTGCTAAATTTATAGTTAACACATGATTATGGACTTCTGAAATGGCTATACAAATGTAAATTAAACATGTATAGATAGGAGATAATAAAATGCATGCATAGATTAGTATGAATGCAGCTAAGGAAGGCAAATGATAACTTTAAAGATCATAGTTAAGGCTGGAGAGAAGTCCTTCCTTTCTTTGGTAACCCTTGGCACTAAAATAGTACAGTACTGAGAATAGATATATATTTAGAGATATCTTTTCAAAGGGCCCAAGAATGTTAATGTAGTATACATGTTAGTTTAAAGTTTTCAAATGGTCCCTCAAAGATGGCAAATGTAATAGGATAATAATTCAGAAGAATTATGAATGTTGAGGTTTAACAGATAAATTGGGAATTATGATCAAGATGATGGACTAGAAACAGCCTGCACATGCTGCTTTCAAGGAAAGGATTGAAAGTTGCATGGATCATCTTAGAGCATTGTGAATCATCACAGAAGCAACTGGCGACACAAAAAGTGTAGGAGAAGGAAGCTGGGTGAACTGCTTGGCAGGATCAAAAGGTACTTGGGTATATAAGAGGTGCTATATCACCATTGTTTCTTAAAGCTGAATAGTACTCCATGGTATACATATACCACAGTTTATTAATCCACTCATGTATTGATGGACACATTCTACTAAGCGAGGTATCCCAAGAATGGAAAAACAAGCACCACATGTACTCACCATCAAACTGGTATTAGCTGATCAACATTTAAGTCCACATATAAGAATAACATGTATTGGATGTTGGGCAGGGGGAGGGGGAGGGGGGAGGAGGGGACGGGCATATGCACAAACAATGAGTGCGATGCGCACCTCTGGGGGAATGGACACACTTGAAGCTCGGACTTTGGGGGGAGAGAGGGTAAGGGCATCATACATAACCTAATCATCTGTACCCCCATAACATGCTGAAATAAAAAAAAAAATAAAAAATAAAGCATTTTAAAATTAAAAAAAAAAAAAAAAGGTACTTGGGGAAGGCACCCATACATGAGGAAGAGTCAGAGGAGAGAACCCCAGGGCTACATGCTCCCTCCACAGATAATGCAACCCAAGCTGTGGGAGTGTCCCCCAGACTGATCAGCGAGCTGCTTGGAGAAGGCAGCAGTATTACACTGAAGACCAGGCATGGAGGGGTTTTCCATCCTAGGTGGCTGCAACTGATGCCACTCTGAGCTCTCAGTTCCCAGAGTGCCTGGTCTACACAGGGGTCAGCTCCACTGCAGCTGCCTCCCTATTACCCCTGCCAGGCTGGGGAGGGAGCAGGGAGGGCAGGCATTGTGTGTGCCCCATGACTGGGTGCTGTGCACACTCCCTGCCTGTGGGGAATCCAAGCAGACCAGGTGCCCATAGTGCCCAGCATCTGTCACCACCATCTGGATAGTGTCACTGCCATTGCCACCTGAGTAGCACCGCAACAGCTGCCACCACCAATCCTGGGCAGAGGGAAAGCCCCAGCCATTGCAACTTGCTCACAGTGTGCTGCACAACTCTGGCACCACCAAGCATAAGCTGCTCATTTGCAGTGGACTCAGCCCCTCATGAGCTGCCACAGCCCCATACACCATGCACTTCAGCAGCTCTGCCCACCATGTGCTATCCGGATTGTGTGGCCCTGCCCCACTGCAAGCCTTCTCAGCATCACCTACCATGTGTGGCTGTTCTGCCAGGTCTCACCTGGGCAAACCACATGGCTCCACAGCCCTGACCAATCCAATGGGCCCACATATCTTAGCTGCCCCAATGCCACATGCTGTCACTACACCTGGACCTGGGTGGAGCCAACACCCACAATCCTGCCACCTGCAGCCATCATCTAAAAAACCTCACCAGGCCACCACTGCCACTGCCATGGGGATACCTGGGAAGAGCAAACTCCCAAGCCACTGGCCTCTGTGGAGAGGGACATAACAAGCCCCCCACCTGAGCTTCCAACAGTGGCCTGGAGACCAACCCACCACTTTCCATGAATATTCCCCAGCACGGGCTTGGACTGTGACAACCACAGGGGAATGGGACAACATAGCAGAACAGTTGTATTATAGGCTTTCATTGCATCTGCCTCTCTCCTGTCAGGTTAATTTTCTGGAGTAGGATACAAGGTTACCATTGAGGGACCTCTCCTTCTTAGTGAAAAGAAGAATTCCTAACAGAGGAAAAGAGTTGTACCACAAAGGTGTCTGGCCTGAGCTGAGAGAAGAGGTTTCAGATGAGAAGGAACCAGCATAAGAATTCTGGCAATGTGAGGAAACAAGCTGTTTTGACACTCGCAAAGATCATAATAGGTCTCTAGTAAGGGATCCCAACCTAAATTGTCAAAATGTCAGATATGTAATTCAAAATATGGATGACAAATTAGATAAATGGGATTGATGAGAAAGTTTTAAACCAATGCAAAGAAACAAAAAAAATTCAGGATATGAATGAAGACTTTTCTTTAAAGACATAGATAACACAAATAAAGACATAATAAAATTTAAAGAAATGTAAAAGTCATTTAGGGAATTTCAAAATATAACAGAAAGTTTTAAAAACAAACTAGACCAAGCAGAAGAAAGAATTTCAGAGCTTGAAGACAAAACTTTCAAATTAATCAAATCAGTCAAAAATGTAGAAAAAAGAATAAAGAAGAATGAACAATCACTCAGAGAAATATAGGACTGTGTAAAATGAGCTATTATAGGAGTTATAGGTATGCCTGAGGGAGGAGAAAAACCCCAAATAAAGGAAAACTAATTTCAGGGTATAACTGAGGAAAACTTCCCTGGCATTGACATAAATTTAGATATCCAGAAACAAGATGGTCATTGAATACCACACCTGGAGGATTCATAGCAAATAGGACATCACCAAGATATACGTGATCAGTATGGCCAAAGTCAAAATGAAGGAGAAAATCTCACAAGGTGCAAGATGAAAACAGCAACTTACTTACAAAGGAAAACCCATCAGACTGACAGAAGACTTCTTAGCAGAGACTTTACAAGCCAGAAGGGACAAGGGTTCCATTTTTAGTCTTCTTAAATGCAATAAATCCCAGCCAAGAATTTTGTATTATGGAAAATTAAGTTTCATAAATGAAGGAGAAATAATGTCTTTTCCAGTCAACCAAAGACTAAGGTTTAGACCTGCCATACAGGAAATGCTCAAAAGTTCTCTATACATTGAACTGAACAAATGATACCCACCAGTGTAATAATACCCCAAAATTAAAGCTCACAGTTCTTATAAAATAATAGCACAAGGGGAGGGGGGA